CATCAAACAGGGTGGTAAAAGGATAAACCCTCGGCCCTGGATTCAGTGGATTCAAAGACAAAACCTTGGCACACTGACTGGAACAAGTGTTGTCTTTGTCAAACTAACAACAAAGAAGTACTTACCTCTCCACGTGCAAATCCTACCAAAGGGTAGCGATGGCTATAGCCTTTTGGGTAGGAATATTTCTAGATTTCTGCAACTCAACGAGTTACCAATCAAGCTTGATCCAGCAAGACTTGATGATGGCAGTGGGATATCCGAAACGTTGAGAAAAAATGCTGCTCGGTATCATGAGAGTTGTAGGCTATTGTTCAACAACACAAAGTTAGAAAGAGTTGAGAAACGATCGGCTCCAGCAGCTGACAGACTGGAGACCAGCAGTAGCGGTACAATCCCACGGAGGATCTTAGTCACAAAGAAGGCAGAGTGTTTTCTGTGTGAAGAGGAAGGATACAGCCCAAGTCAAGCTATGACTATGAAAATGAACAGAAGAATTAATGAATGTGCAAAGACAATCAATGATGAGATGCTTCTTTCAAAACTGCGTGCTGGAGATGTCATTGCTCAAGAGCTGAAGTACCACCCTACATGCTTGGCAGCTCTGTACAATTAAGAAAGAGCCTATCTGAATGCAAAAAAACAGAGGGGAGCGGAATACTAAGCCGGGGTATTTGAAACCGAAATTGTCATCTAAGCGTTAGGCCGTCGCTGATTGGCTGCTGAGCTGGAATGCCAATTTTTAGTTTTAAATAACCCGGGAAAGTGTTCTAGCTTCTTCGTGTAATTAGGTGTTCATATGCATGGGATTTTTCCACACAGAAACGACAAATTAGGTCGAATTTTGTTATCGGTTGGCTTAATATAACCCCAGCAGACTGTATTTTTGTGAAAGATTGGTATTTTTGTTCTGATTTGTAGGAATCTGAAAAAGGCGTTTCACAACTTGTCTCTTATTTAGTTTTATGCGTCATTCAGAATGGCGGCCCCCATATAGTAAATATCGCATTGAATTTTATTATCACGTGTGCGCCAGCTGACTGTGATTGGGAAATTGTTTAAAACAAACGTTTCGTCGTCGTTGACAATAAACTCTGGCTGGCTTCCAGACCTGGCATTAAAATCGCCAACAATTATTACATCAACTTCACCTAATTT